AAATGTGATTATTTTGGCAGCTTCAAAATTATTAGGAAATAAAAGCATTAACAATAGTTTGTTGAGGAAAAAAGGAGGCTGCAATTTTAGTGTAAATTTACGCATTAGAATACCTGAGCTAAGAATGAATGAAGAATTATAGTAATGTATATCAGCATTTCCCAAACTGATGTTTTCCAGATACATTCCAGCATTCTCAGTCAACATGGCCATATTTAAAAGTAATAATCTGCATTTATAGACCCAGAGATTCCAAGGGAACACCTGATTTGGAGGGTAGATGCTAAATGACCGAGGGATAGATTGTACTTTTCTGGTTCAACTATACTAGTCACAGTAGTCTCAAGGTCACCTCTCTCATAGCTGTAATACGGGGTGGAGATTTTAAGTCATTTCTTCTATGTCTTAATCCAGTTTGTAGCACTGGTCACTATCACGTTATTTTGTGGATCACTTGAGCACTATCTATAGTTAAGTATGGCTTTCCTTACTCATCCTGATAAACGTAATCTTCACCAACTGCAGGCCTATCTTAAGTATTAAAAAACAGTTGAACAGTTGTAACCTAGCTTCCTGATTCTTTCATATCCAGAGATGGCAGCATTTCTAAATCAAGTCATCGACAGGGAATCCACTGATGAGATTTTTTTTCAAGTAATTGTATTATGCTTTAAAAAGTTAACATTTGTTTAAAATGTATTTATTAGTTTGCAATTATATATTTAAAGAAACCTATTATACAAAAACAATATAGTAAAAAAATAAAATAAAAAACAGGAAAAAGGACTAAAAAAAACCCTAAAAAACAAAAGAGAGAAGAAAACCTATTCTAAAATATCAAGTGGGAGGGGAATACAGAAAAAAAAAGATTTTTAAAAATGAAGAAAGCAAACAAAACAACTTTTAAAACAATTGAACTAAATAAACCTAAAAACTAAAAAACATACACCTAAGTTATATCTATTTCTAAATATAAATGAAGAAAAATATATGTCTCGCTATTAAAATTACATAACTTTCTTCAACTGCACCAATATAATTTAGTTTTTAAACAATGAATTAAACCTAAACCCTATGGAATCATTTTCCTGGTCTTGCTTCTCTTTAAAGCTAATTTAAAGGATAAAACCTGATAAATTTTGTTAAGTCAATTTGTAGAGACTGGAACACAAGCATTCTTCCATGAGTACATAATCATCTTTTTTCCAACAGTCCAATGCTGATATATCCAAAGTTCTTCATCAATTGAAAGTATCCATTTTTTAAAACTACTAAGAAAGCATTAACATCTTTAGTTTCCTAGGAATATAGTTCAGCACAGTAATAATATCTATATACAGTAAATAGATTGTGCCTCTGAGTCAGTCTTGACTTCTGCCAACTACATGGACAAGTTCATGCTGTTTTCTTGGCAAGATTTTTCAGTGTGGTTTTCCACTGTCTTCTTCCAAGGGCTGGAAGAGAATGACTAGCCCAAAATCACCCAGACGGCTTCCATGCCTAAAACAGGATTAGAACACAGAGGCTCCTGTCTTCTAGTCCAGCACCTTTAACTACCAGCTCTCAGTAATTTTTAACCAATAAGGAATTGCAGGGGGACATGCCTATACCATATTGACTTCCACGTATTTATTTCTCAGACCTGTATGCCACTTCAGTCATAAAACCAACTCCAGGTGGTACAGACTCCAACTCAATAACATTAAAAATATAATAACACCATATACCTTAAAAATAAACAATAAAATGAATAACAAAATAATATACATTTATCTTATATCATTTCACACCCAACTCTCATCCCAATAATTAATAACTACTTTCTTTAGGAGGAATCCAACTCTCCATCACCCCACAAAGACTTCCTGGAAAAGCCAAGTTTTAATGGCCTCCCTAAATATCAATATAGTCCTGACCTCATCCATAGAAAAAGGCAACAATGGCCCCTGGTGGTAACACTTTTTCAGAGTGGGCACCTGAAGAGGCCCTCCCTTACATAATTTATTGGATTGACAGAAATCACTAATGCAGGTGATCCTGAAGATAGCCAGGTCCTGAGACCTTTAAAGTAGAGCTTTAAAGGTGACAACCAGCACCCTAAATCACACCCAGAAATCAGCCAGTAGCCAATACAGCTCCCAAAGGAGCAGGGCTACCCAGGTAAAACAAGATGCACCCAGAGTTATTTGATTCAATGCATTCTGTAGCCAGGCTGGGGTCATGGTTAAGGCACCAGGCTAGAAACCAGGAGACCGAGAGTTCTAGGCCTGCCTTAGGCACAAAGTCACTCTCTCTCAGCCCTAGGAACCAAGCAAGGGCAAACCACTTCTGAAAACCTTGCCAAGAAAACTGCAGGGTCTAGTCAAAAACTGACTCAAAAGTGACTGATCCACACATTCTGGATCAGGTTTTAATAAACAAATAAAATTATAGTGAGGCAGATCGTTGCTTGTCCAGCTAAGGCAGCCCTCCTAACCTCCTAAAACATTCTCCAGATGTTTCAGAACAGGCACTCAGAGAATTTCAGCCAGCGTGATCAAAAGCTGAGAATTCTGGGGGCTGTAGTTCCAACACATCTGGAGATGATATGCTGGGAAGGCTGTTTTAACAAAGTGTCCTTTTTAATTAAAAACACACATGACAGTGATAACAGACCAAGAAAATCATCAAGGCTTCGCATGCGTGAAAATATTCAGGGTGAACAACATTTTCTTTGTGCTCATTTTCTTCTTCATACACAAAGCTCCTTTGTGCACTAGAGTTCCTAATTTCAGGATATAAATGAATCCAATATACTAAGCAACAATTATTGATTTTTTTTTCATATATGTAATCAGGAAAACACTAGTTTTTCTAGTGCTCAAATCAATGAAACAGAGCTTAGGGGATGTCGTACACAATTTGCCTTCTGAAGTACATGAAAATGTCTTTTAGTTAAATCAGGTGATTACAGGTACTTAATGTTTGAGGGGACAAGTGTGACGAAATAAGAGATGAAACTGGTTACCATTAAGTTAGGAATATTCAGATAACATAGTCAAATAAACATTCTACAGAGAGAATAAGATTTGGTTTTTTTTAATGCATAGTCCATTAAGTAACTTAATAATATGGGAGGGGCACAAAAGCAAAATACACTCCCTACTCTTCTGTCGCATTAATTTTAAACAATTAGAATAACTATTTTTCCAGATGGCAGCATTTAAGTGGCTTACAATTAAAACATTGTTTTAGAATCACGGTTTCACATTTTCCAGGTTATTGACTCATAATTCACATTAGCTGAAATTCCTCTGCATTCTCTCTTTGGGGCTCCCAAATAGTCTTGTCAAAAATGAAAACTGGTCTGGCCATTCAGAAAAAGTGCCTCATACCAGTTGGTTCCTTTTTTCTAGTGCTTCCGAAGAAGCAGTACTATCAGGTAGAAACCAACTACTTTTCCTTTGAGAATGGAAGACTTATCGACAGAATGAGGGAAGGCACAATTTTCAACATTTTTCTGAAGTTGGGGGCTCCATTAGAGCACACTTGGACTAAGGGACATTGATGCTGCAAGGGAAATTGGTGAAAATTAAATCTAATTTCATGTGGTTGGCAGAATGTTTGTCAGTAGGGAACACTTTGTGTTTCATCTGACATTTTTAATGGAGGCCAGTTGTGTTTGCTAGTAAGAACAAGAATAAAGCCTAGCTGGATCAGGCCAACTGCCCATGTAGTTCAGCATTATGAGTCATACAGAGGCCAATCAGATTGTGCAAAACATCTCAAATGCGGAGAGCAGTAGAGCTTTCTCTTCACTGCTGGTCCCAGCACTGGTAGTCAAGGAATGTCTCTGGGGACTCCAAAAATAGTGAACAGCCATCTCTGTCACTGTGAGAGGCTCCTTATCAACTGTTCTAAGGCACAAGCTTTGACCTAGTGGAAATCTGGTGCTTCATCATACCATGAACATGTGTTATGGAAGTTTATGGGAAAACTGTGCCTTCTTTAGCACGTCAGGTGACACCCCCTTCAGTGGCATGTCCTTCTATTTCCTATAAAGTTTGTACTATGATAAAGCTATATCCCATTCATTTTCTTCATCCCATTGGGTATCTGTAATGCTTTTTATATCCATGTTCTTCTCTAGTGTTAAACACACAAATGTCCATCCTGGCTCAGAGGGTCCTTACAGGGTATCTCCCTGTTGTTGTTGTTTTCTGGCATGCACCTTTACCCTTAATTTTTAATTGATTGTAGTTATTTCCTAGATTTACACTTGGAACAATCAGAATAATTTTCACCTCCTCCTCCAGACAAGATTCTCCCCAGATCAGATTCTCTCCTCTTCTTGTCAGCTTCCCCCTGGGATAGGTTTAAATAGTTTTGCAACCTTTTTGATATTAAGCACCAGCAGTCTGATAACCTCCTGGCTCAAATTATGCTGTTCTTAGATCTGATTTACTTCAAAATTATCACTTATCCCAGTGCCTGATACATCTAAAGGTCTCCTCCCAGTTCATCATATTAATGCACTGAAATGGCTCAGCTGTTCTTCAGCTGCTAAACTCTTAGGTCTATCCTAGTACAGCCAAGAATATCACCAAATGAGTATTGTCCAATTCCTTCCTAACTAGCCATTGCTAGTCCCAGATATTGGTTTAGGCTTGTTTGGTGCACTAAAACTTGAAAAGGGTTTGGTTCTTCTCCATTTCCACACTCACTTTGGAACAACTATCCAATGCTCAGGACTATTTGTCTCTGATTGGAATGTCATTCCCAATTACTACAACCCAAGAGACTGTTTGCTCAGAAGAGCAAACTTCTGCTCTCTTCAGATTCCATCAGAATTTGGAGAGCAAATCAGAGATCCGCAGAGGCCTAGTAATTCTTTTCTTTGGATTGTGACTAGTGTCATAAATGGACTGCTACTTAGACCCACCATGCTGTATTTTTCTTTGCACTGAGAATCTTTATAGTGTTGGCTTTTGATGGCTCATGCTAATCCAGTGAACAGAGAGTAAGGTTTAATAACAATCACTTTATTTGTCTATTAAATTTTTCACATTGTTCAATGTGTTCAGTCTGCTTTAATGGTTGATACCTTCTTGTAAAAACCACTATGAATCAGTGTTGGAGAGAATAACATAAGGTTACTATTACCCATTAACTTGGTCAACAACTCATCCTTCAGGGTTAGTCTCTTTGTTTTACTGCAACATACTGAGCATGCTTTTTCAAACCAAGCTTCATGCACTTTTTAACCTTTTTCTGCACTTATCACCACTGAAGTCAAAACCACTAAGAGTAAAATTGACCCTTGCCTGGAAAACTAAGGGGGCAGTGTTGATACTACTGACTGCATACCATTACGAATAGGTATATTTTCATTCCTCTGTACTTTATAAGGCTTAGTACAAATTCCTCCATATAGTGTTCACTTGGATTTCCAAACATCCTCCCATTCAACAGAATTTACTGCAGTTTTTGGAACTGATGGAAATAATGATTGCATTTTGTTCCGAAATTCATTCATCTAAAAAAAAAGATAAAGAAATAAACATAAAACCACCACATCAAATCATAAGTACACTGCAGTGTTAGTACTCTCTCCCCCCCCCCATCCATTTTGAGTAAACATACATAAAAATCCAAGGTTTGCTTGCAGATATTTTATGTTGACATATTTTCTTTCCTTATTCACCAACAGGAACAAAATAATGCATGTACACATTTGGTTCTTTTGTGTAACTATGAAGTAGTGTACTCCTGCTTGGAACTAACCAAAATGAAAGACAAGCAAGATTGTGAATTCTTCTTATAAAAATTATCAGTTCTTATAGTGGGTTTAAACTCCTGGCTATAAAGAAATCTGGTTAATATTACGTATAATAAATATGTAGTTGCACCTTAGCTAAGGCAAACCATGAAAGAGATTCAGACAATCTCTTAATTACAAATAAATACAAAGTTAACATTCAAATGCTCTTGCACTATCATCAAAATTAGAGGCCCAATTGACCCCTATGATTAGGATTGGCTGGTTAATGAATTGAGTGCATATACAAGTTACACCTCTTTTGAAGCAACTGCACTGGCTGTTAATTAACTAGCAAGTCAGGTTTAAGGTTTTGCTTATGGCATATAAGACCCTGAACAACCTGGGTCCAGGATACCTGATTGAATATCTTTGCTACTTTGGGGGCCAGGGGAGGTCTTCCTGCAGGTGCCTTGAACCACCAAGTGACCAATTGCATGCAGCTTTCCTCTATGGTGGTGCCTAAATTCTGCCCTGGTCCTTCCCCTGAGATGTGTGAGATGCTTCTCATTAGAAGGTTTGGGAGCCTATTGAATCTCTCTCTCTCCATCCAGGCCTTCTCCATGTGAACATGGGATGAACAGTGTTCTGGCTATTTTAGTTTTCCTTTCTCTCCTTCTTACTATGTGCGTATGTGAATGAGTACTTTTGTATAGGAAGGGACCCCCAAACACATGAAATCATCATCATAATCCAGTTTCAAGCCCGAAGGTGTTCTTCAAAAGGGAGAAATTAATAAGGTCTAATTGGGTGGATTTAGCAGCAGCCTTGTGGAAGCTCAGGAGTTAGGTTCAGGTCAATAGTTGAACAAAACAGTGGCTGGAAACTTCATGGATTCCACTTGAAATGGCATAATGGAAGACAGGATATGAGTATATAAGAACAGGGAACAAGTCATTAATGCAGGAAAGCAAATCTTATCTCTCCCTAAAACCACACTAAAAAGTGAGCATTAATTTCATTACTTTCTCTGATGAACCACCAAAAATGTGAAGCCCATCATTATTTCTTAGTTTAGGCTGACGTGAATTATTTGCATCCCACACATTTGTCTTCTCATGTCAGTAATTTTGAAGACAACTCTCTGAAGTGAACTTCACTTTGCGAACTAACATTTTTCTTATATTGCCCAAAGAAAGAAAGAAAAATCTTAGTTCGTTTCCTTGGGAAAGACATACACAGAACAATCAATCCACTTCAAACTGTCAATCTTTTTACCATAAAAAGGATTTTACTTACTTTTAGCACATCAAGATCTGTAACAGTTAGAGATAACCATTATTTTTTCCCATTTTAACCTAACAATCCTTCATCAGCAAACAAAAATAAAGGCTCTCTAAAAGCATTTTTATTCCATTCTGACTTTTAAAAGTAGGTAAGTGGCACAAAGCAGGTGAAGAGAACCCAAACTGTGCTATTGCAGAGTAATTAGGCATCTGTTCATACTAGTTTGAATGGGGTGGAAGAAAGAGAGAAAGAGGAATGCTAAGGAGTTGCTCCCTCTTTATGAAATTCTGCAGAGGCCACCTTAGAACTTGGTAACTTTTATTTCTTTTCCAGTGCAATTTATATTTCAGTTTCAGTTGCACTCCATCTCTAGGGCTTGGAGCAGGTGACAAGTTTTTTTTAATGACAAAAACAAAATCAGATGCTAATTAAAACGGAATTAATTAGCCAATTACCTCATTTTAAGGTAAGCTGTTTAACATAAGCTGATGAATGCCAGACCCCAAAGGGAAAATTATCAGGCTTGTGGATTTGGTTAACCCCTAAGAAAAAAGAGCTAGATAAGAACGAGGCAGCGACCGAGACCATGTCTTCGCTGCTGAAACTCTGCTTGCAGGCGGGTGATACAACCAAGAATCTGCCTTCAAACCACCTTAAAGATTTATGGGGAAGGTTAGGTAAGGGAGGTACAAGTCATCTGACACTTGTGATATTAAAAACAGCACTCTTGAATTGTGTCTAGAAAACTCCAGGATACAAACTCATCAGAGCTTATGACTACAGCCTGTTTTTCTCCTGCCTAGGTCAGGGCTGACTTCAAAGCCATGTGGAGACCAATGCCAATGCTGGCATTGGGCACATGTAGTACCTGCTGTAGAAATGCTGTTTCCTGGCTTTCAAAAACTGTGATTTTTCTTTTCTTTTTTAAAAAATGTTTTGATTCTTAAATCATGGGGAGATACTCTGGTTCACCAAATTGGGCAGGCTGTAAATAACAAATAAGGTTAAACAATTAATTTCCCTTTTAATTAGACACAGTGGAAGTACACAATGCCTTCCTACTCACAGCAGTTCTAAAGGTTAATGTATGTATACAAAACCAAGACATTATGAATTTTGTCACAAAGATGATATATTATAAGGTCACAGAATCCCTCCCCACTCTGGTTTGCACCCACCATCTGTATGTGTGCAGTTCTCATAGTAATTTGTTTTTTTTTAAGATCATAAATATTTTATGACTCATCCTTGCTATAAAATAAATGATAGTATCTGCTTTGTGAAGTGATTACAAAATTGATTTATGAAGACTATCATAATCAAAAGAGCCTTTATTACTTATTTCATGTTGCTTTCTAATTGCGGTGGACCACTACAAATTATGAAAGCTATTTTGTTTCTTCTTTTTTTATCTTTAACAAAAACATTAGCTAGGAGAGGCAAATAGGGAAAGTTATGTTCCTATGGCTGGCAAGTGTTACAACTGCAGCTTTAATTAAATACAAAGATACATTTCTTATTTCCTCTGGCTAAAAATAAATTACGACAATTCTGCTGTAACTGCTGGAAAACTATTACACATTTCTATCAAGTGGTCTTTCTGTTGATATAATGTAGCTATTATCATTGTATGACAACTAAATTAAAACTGGCACAAAGATTGTCACAATTATGTATCTTCCTTTAAAGTAACAGATTTGTGAAGATCCTTGCAATTAGCCCACAATTATTGTGAAACAACAACAACAAAAAAATGTTTTACTCCTTTGCTGACTCAAGACATGAGAACTTTTGTACAGTTCATCTCTCACTCTTTCACAGTAAATTTTCAAACAGACTGACGTCCTAAATATTATGGGATGAACATTTCTGGAGAGCAGAGGACAGTGTCAGATAAATCTTAAGCAGGGCAATTTTACACTTTGGATTCAGTGGACATTTTATTTTGATTTTAGGAATACAGTTGCTTGGCAAACTTTGACCCATGTCCTTGTCCTTTACAAAAAACCATGCTGGTCCATCAGGGTAGAAAAGAGGTAAAGTAATAGTATCCTTTATTTCCTACTTCTCAAATCAATATAAAGGTCAAAGCTAGCATGAGGCTATAGGAGAAGGAACTAAGAGAGATAGCCCAGGAGAGCTTGGCTATCTCACAACCCAAATTCAACTTTGGGAACTTATATACACTTTCCATTTACTCAGCACATATACCTTCACGCTACAGGTGGCTGGAAATATGTGTCAGCTCAACATACATGTTAAAGTATCATGATGTTCCTTATATCTGAAAAACAAGTTAACTATAGCAAGATAATGTACTTACTTGCTGGCTACTTAATGTAAGACTAAATAATGAAGGTATCTCAGGACCATTTGTTCCTATGTTCCACAATTTGTACTTTTGCCACACAACTCAGCGTACCAAGTTAGATAAAAACTGTTCTTTCAAATAAGCTAGTCATTAAGTGAACCCAGTCGACTAAGACTAAAAACATAAGCAAGAAACAGAAAAAGAATCATCATAATTTAACAGCCAGTAAATTAAAAGATTCTTAGAAAAGAACTGCTTTCAAATGCCATAAGGGATAGAAGAATACAGATTTGCTTCTCAAAGAGGGAATTCCATATTTCAAAGTTCTCAGCTACTTTGCTATCAAATGTTATTCAGCAAACAATAGCAATAATAAATGTGTACCTCCCGTTAATAGATCATTAAAGATAGGCAGATCTACACAATAAAAAGTACTTCAAGGAGTTCAGAACTCTAAGGATAATCAACATCTTGCCATAAACAGAAGTGGTCAATACACACAGTAAAGGGGTCACATGATCTCAACATTTTGCTACCAAAAGGATTTGAGGGAAATGGCATTCTCAACTAAGTAGAACTTCTGAGGCATCTTCTAGGGGGGCACTGTAGAAGAAGCAACTCACGTGGGTATGATTGTGACCAGATCTAATCTCAAAAGGATTCAGTAGCTGCACTAGCAAATCTGAAGAAAAGCAGTCCTCCTGGACCCCACATCACAATATTGGATGGCAAAGGTGAGTACATGGTCACTCCAGACTGTGAACTCAGTCTTGCACAGAGAATATATAGCAGTCCTATTTAGAACAGGTTTACATCCAAATCCTGGTCCAGTAGGGTTGGGGGGGGGGGGGTGACCCACAGTACCTCCTCCTTCTCTAGAACTTTTTCTTCTTCATTCATTTGAAGTAGAAAATTGGTTAAACAGGTCTATGACTTCCCATTGCTTCAACATCTTCTTTCAAGGCAATTTACTTTAGTGTAAAGTGCCCACGTTTTAAAAGTTTTATATCTGGTTAATGCCTTGAGTTATTAAAATTCTGAATATTGAAAATGTAATAATTTCCCCATTAATCTGTTATTTTGTATGAGATGACAAAGAAAGACAATGCATCAAAATCTAAAACTAAAAAAATAAACAAACATCTGAGAAGAAGAGTTCTTCAGCTTGTCCCATTTCCTCTCCTGCCAGCAGATATAGCTATGGTGCAATGAAGCACTTTCCAAGGAGTCTTCTTCAACTGCATCCCAGATGAATTTCAGCATCATTTCTTATTTTTATTTTTCATCTTAAGTCGATTTCCCTGTTAAGACTTATTTTATAAAAGGCTATTTAATGATAAAATGATAATGGACACTATGCTCTGTCTCTGAAGGTCCTAGGGCCAAGGCGGTCTAAGGTAATCAGAGCACCTACAGTTATTCTACCCAGCCCCAACATTTGTGCCAACAGTGTTGATGCGTAATATCTTTAGGGGTTGGGCTGGGGACCATTCCAATTTTCTTTCTCATTGCCTTTTGGCTTAAACAGCTGTTGTAATCATTGTACCTCATAATGTAGCTAGTGAGTATGATTGCTAAATGTCTACTGGTAGCCAAATTATTTTTTTTCCATAATCCTGCCTCCATTTGACAGATGGTCGATTTGAAGAACACCAAATCCTTTCTTATATGATTTTACACAGTATTGCTCCTTGTAAGTCACATCTCCAGGTTCAGCTGGGGATAAGTGTGTGAGATCTCTATGTTGAAGTTATTTCCCTTGATCATTTTAGAATAGTTTACATCTCAAAGATAAAACTCTGCAGGGTTTTTTGTATTCTCTTTATTTCCTATGCTAGAAGGTGCATACTGAGACTGGACTCACATATCATGCTAAATGTTTGTGTCATCCATGATTTTTTGAGTAAACCACAACTGCTGGGTTCACATAACCTGCTAAACAAAAACAAAATAAAACCTGTTATAGTTAAGCACTGTGTGAATCCAGTCTAAGGTTACCCTCACATGCAGCCTTTGTGCCATTCTTGGAGGGACACCACATCTCTGTGATCCCACTTCATCATCTCCACTGGGCAGCTGAGATGACTGAAAGCCTTGTGAAGGTGATTTTGGACTGCAATGCTCTAGCCTTGCAGAGCCCAGATTTCTACTGGTAGAACTCCTGCCTCTTCTCCTTGTCCCAATAAACTCCATCCGTGCCACGCCATCTTTTCAATTGAGCAGAGGAGCAGCTCTTATATGCCCCTGACACAGTAACCCTTCAACCTTTCCTCAAATCAATGAACAAACGTAACATGAACTACAGGTGTAAAGAGTGTGGGACACCAGGCGGATGCCAATTTCTGCCGGAGGGAACACTGATCAGCTCCTGTGAATTCTTGCCATTTCAATTCAGCAGCAGTGAGGATCCCTTTGAGCCAGTTAGGACCTTTTCCTAAGGCTTTGGGGAATGAAAACTGTATGTCAAGATGATCAAATTGTGTTTTTATCAGAGCAGCTAATGCAGCTTTATAGGATCAGCTAATGCAGCTTTATAGGATCAGCTGCTTTTTAGAAATGTATGTTGATGGCCCTGAGCAACAAAGCTTACCTCTTCCCTAGAGCATTATTATTTCCATAATGTTTACTACCGCAGAGAACAATACATCAATTTAACAGACCCGATTTCTGTATATGAAATAAAAAATGAACTTCTGACACCCCCAAAGCTCTTATCCAGGAAAATGCTTCTTTTTCTTTTCATATCAGACTGAAAAAAGTAAGTATGGCAATATCCTTTTTACTAGAATCATTTTTCTCCTTTCAAGATTTTTCTCAATAGCCAAGGTAATCTATGATGATGTAATCTGTTAATTGCCTCTTCTTAATTCCTTAGGGGAACTTTGCCTGTGTCTTTTGTATAGTATTTCTGGCGTGCAACTGGGTCTGCTAGTTCGCATACCCATTTGGGGCAAATAACAATTACTCCCAAAGCAGCACCTGTGGCTAATCACCACAGTCTATGTGTTAGGTGTAGAGCCTTGCCTACAAACATCTCACTCTTTCTTTAGATTTACAGGGCAAGTAAAACAGATACACTGTACCAATAACATAGCCACGTGCAGTGCTAAATGCAGTGCAGTCCTCAGGTGCTGCTGAACTATACTTTCCAGCAGCTCCATCCATTGTAATCATTGGTGAGGGATGCTGGGAACAGCAGTTCAGCAACATCTTGAGCACCACAGGCTCTTCACCCTTAATCTGAGTGGTGCACAAACGGCTATTCCTGTCCAGCAACTGACAGTGGGAAAAATCCTGCAGAAGTGCATAAGGAGAGTGGTGTACCCAGAACTTAAGGATAATTCTTCTGCTGCTCCTGAATTATATCTTGATTTTCTCTCTCTTTTGCAATAACTTCACCTTTGCAATTATTTTGCAATTTCACCTACACATTCCCACATTCCCATATACAGTAGTAAGTGCGTTTCCAAGTGATGATATTCTATTATTCCGCAAAGTATTATTTGGACAGGTCAATTAAAAAAGTAAGTGTATACATTTATTTGAGTTCAAAAATACAGAAGTAGCATGCCACTGGGGTGTTCTGGGATTTTAAAAAATTCTCAGTCTATCCTGTAATAGGATAGGATAGGATTCTCCAAATCCTATGTCCTACTCCTGAGCTTCCTGAGATCAGCAGAAACTTTAAAAAAATCAATAAGCAACCTTACATAAATATGATCTAATATAAATCAACATTATTACTAAAATAGCCAAACCAATCAAAGATAGCTTCAAACCCTATTGAAAGTAAAAATGTCTCTTTGCTACATGTCTAAAAGCCAGTGACAATGGAACCAGAAGAAATCTTCTGGAGGTTATTTGAATCTCTCTCTGCCTTGCTGCAGTGTTTTACTACAGTTCTAGCATTTGATAAATGTGGAAAAAATATAGCTCAAGATAAGAGAAATGGACACATTATGTTGCTTGCCACAGGTACTGTTTCAGAATACCAGAGAAGAATTACATAGTACAGCATTCAATATTGGACAGAAAGTGTATCCTAATGGCTCATCCCCAGATTATAGAAATTCAGAGTTTATCAAATTATACCACACCCCTATATACCACTCAGTCATTGCTGAGATGGGGGACCATATAATTTTTAAAAATAAATAAACCAAACTCTGCAACTAGACATTTTTCATAAAGATACTTTTTTGATTTGCAGAATAGAAGTAGTTAGTCTGAATCTTGCAGCCACTGTTATATTCCCCTGAGAACTACCTAATTACTGCCAATAAATGTATAAACCTTTAGAAGCAGCTTCTAGACAAAAAATACTGTATTGCTGGCAACTCCCCCCCCCCCCAGAACTGCTACAAAATTCAAATGTCCAGTACTTGTTTTAAAAGAGAATTTTGAACGATGTATTGGTATTACAGCTACCAGATCTCGGCAGTCAAAATACAGATGGCCACTAGATGGTATCAAAGAAATACGGAAAATTCTAACTCTTTGTTGCCATCAAGTGATGATTCACATTTTTATAGCCCAGATTTGGTTGCCCTGATATAATAAACATTAGTAGTTACTGTTCTGCATACTGCAATGCAAGGAGCAGGGGGGGCAGGGGAGAAGAAACTGAATAAATTCCCTTACAACATATACTTATGGAAGGCTTTAAACCTATCTCACTTTACAGATCTGGCTTTCTCACAGATCTCAACTTGAAGCCTTCTGTAAAACAAATCACGATATATGGATTTGATGATTAGAAATAATAGTAGACAATACAACAAATGAAAGGTATGTTGTAAACTTAAAGTAAGAGCTTAAAGCAAATTTATACATATATCTGTTGTAAAAGAAAGTTGGAAGTCATTTTTCTTTTGCACTTCTTTTTCTTTCTGCACTTTTGACCTTGTTTTATTTTTCATTCTTTACCTTTTTCTCTTTTCTACTCTCTATCCGAATTATTAGTTCTTGTTAGTTTCTGTCTCTTTATTTAAAAAATCTAATAAAGTCATTAAAAAAAAAGCCTTCTGTAAAACAAAGAGGCCACAAAATACAGGGTCACCTTCATACAATGGGTAAGCTGGGACACAGTTTCCAGGCGAACTAGCTTCTAAAGTCTGTGTCTCGTTCTCCTTACTTATCTTCTCCTGTTAGCTGGTAAACAAACTAGGAAGCAGCCAGCAAGAGACAAGTGAGTATCGGGAGGGGGGGTTGACTGTTTGGGGGATGATTTGCCCTGGATGTTTTAACTTACTGTATCAGTGCTTCTCAGCCTTGGCAGCTTGAAGATGTGTGGACTTCAACTCCCAGAATTCTCCAGCCAGCAAAGCTGGAGGAAGGCTGAGAAGGCTGAGAAACACTGTACTATATTGTAGGACTTTTGCTAGTGTAACCCACCTGGAGTCTAGAAAGAACTGGTGGCGTACTAATTTCATAAATAAGCAAAGAAACCATAATAGCTGTGTTCACATACCTAAACCAAGCCGCCCCATCACTTTATAGTTTCCTGCAATGTGCTCACCAAGTCGCAATTAAAACAAACAAAAAAACCCCAGACTCTATACATATTTAACTATTCCCCCATATTGATCCCTTCTTTTCATCTAGTTCATCCTTCTGCTTTCTCAGCCATGCCTCTTCTTTGCTATCTGCTGGTTCTCCATTTTATTGAGCGACCCGTGCAAATATACACCGTGAGCTCCCTGGAGGGGGACTTACACAGTTCAGTTTTCTTACTAATTTTCCCCTATCTATAAAAAAGGTCATACACACTATGCCACCTACACAAATAAAAACATGTGAATGATTACTGAATTTATGGAATTTCTAAAGCACCAAAATATGCAGCATCAAGTCAAGATACTTACATTGTGAACACCCAAAGCCTTCCAGATAGTAAAACTGATCAATGCCACTCCACTCCAGGCATAGAGTGAACCCCATCCAAGGGCCCGTAAAGCAAGGGAGGAGCCACTTTCAGGCAAAGCTGCTGTGGCAATTACACCCTAGAAAAAAAAATTTTTTTTTAAATGAAGGGAAACAAATTACTGGGTACATACATAAACCCTTTCAGGAAGCACTGAGGAAATCATCTAATGAGAATATTAACTCTCCCCTAGGATTGTGTAAAGAGTCTTAGTTTTTCCAAATATTAATACCACTAAAAAAAAGTATGGTTACAGGAGAAAAAAATACTCTTCGTCTCCCTTCCTCTAAAATACATCCTTTTAAAAATCTGTGAATACTCACATGCTAGTTAGAGCATATCAACATGTAAGTCTCCAGTTTCCTTTACAGGAGCATTGATAAACAAGGGAGATAAAAATGGGCCGCCATGGATAAGTGTATGATCCGTGAATGTTCTTATTCTCAGCAGCTTCTTTTTCAGCAGGTAGGTAACTTCACCAGACTTTTAAGTAACTTTCTGAAGAGAGTCAACTGGTAAAAGGTAGCTTAGAGATACAATCTAGGGAAGTGGCCAGGATTACACAAATTACTGAACTAGATTACTATTAAAGTATCTTATACTGCTATTTTAAATGTTCATTTTATTATTGTTGAACCTTTTCATGGATTGCCCTTCCCTCTGTGAAAAAACTCAACAACTGATTTTGTTACATACAGGATAAGAATCCAGAGACAATATATCAAATGACCATTCTTTCAACTTTTTATCATGAGGAGAGAGTTAAAATGAAATATGGTATGAGAATTTCTGCAAAAATGAATGCTTTAGAAGAGTGATAATAGGAAACTGTTGGCCTGGGTTTATTAGCTCAGGAATGTCTGCTCATGAGAAAACTCCTTGAGGATATAAAATACTCCAATAACTGTGTCATTCATAGTAAAATGCTGTCATATGATGTGCACAAAAACTACTTAAACTCTCAAGACAAGTGTTGAAAAATGGCTAGAAAAGACATTTTGGAGTTTTCCCAGCGGCACAGAAAAGATCTCATTGATGAAAGGGGGCAGGAGCCACGATTTTGAGAGAAAGGGTTTTAGTCACATGGTTGTTATTATTTGCCTGTAGGGCTTTTTTTTTTTTAATCAACTCAGGGCACTTCTGTGTTTTCAAATAAGACCACCACCATCAGTCCCAGCAGAACACTTGACCAAAAAAAATCTATGGATCATTTGGTAGCATTTATTACTTTGAAAGCTTGTTTTACTAAATGATGTCAGGTCATGGGCAGAAATGTGATAGGAAAAAAGTCTAACTTTATTAATTCTTTTTTATGTAGCTATTCTAGGCTATCAGTTTCTTGTATATCTAAGAGAAATAGTCTGAAGATTAGAAAGTATATTTTACTACTGCTTAAAGTTCCGTAGTTATGGTTCTTCACTCTCTTCCTGAATAATACAAAGTCCACTGGTATTCATACAGAGATTTAATCAATTAGCAGAAATTAAAATTAGTGGGATAAGCAATGTGGCACATTTTTTTTCATGCCTTATACCAACTGTGTGAGGCAAATGATGGGTACCTGCATATCAAAGACTTTATACCCGTTCAGAACCAATACTAGATCTCCATAAGTCTATATTTGAGTGCTAAGTTGAATAATTTCTGACTGACCTGTGATATATTTAAAACCACCCTAAAACTAGTAGTTGTTTTGAGATGGTACATTTCTAGGCAATCCGCTTCCCCATTTTCAAGAATTCTTGCCTCACCCTACTTACAGTTGCCCTAACAGGTCTTTCAAGGGGAAAGGTGGCTTGGCAGTTTTGCAGCTCTGTTTCCCCATCTTATAGGACCACATGGACTTTTTTTTTTTTTTGCATACAATTAGACAAAAGACCACAATATGAAATAAGAACATGGAAGGCTGTGTGTAAGCTATTCCTTTTATTTCTCTTTTGCATGGAAACAGGGAGGGAATCTTTCTTTCTCCAAGATTACAGAATTTGGGGCAAGATAATTATTCCTTGCTCATTTTCTGTTTGCAAGATGGATCATCAATAAACTTCAGACTGCTTTTGAAGAATTGAGGAATGGAAATAGCAGAACTGCTCAACATTAACAAGCAGCTAGGCAATTTGTTATGAAATGAACAAGCCACTCTTCCAGTTAAAACTAATTTGGATAATTGAACACAGGAAAATACTTTCAGTCGTATGTCTACTTTGGGGAAACATCCAAATAAGTAAGTCCAAAATATATGCAAGATAAAACAATTGTTTGCTTAAATAAAAAGGGTTATTACTTTAACCCCAGTTTTGCCTCTTCTAATGCAAAACAGCAACAAAATACAGTAGCCATATTCCCAAAGAAGTTTGAGCTGGAATTCTGCAGAATCTGGACTACTGTTGACAAGCAAACATTCTAGAAGCATTTAGTTACTCCCACTTATCCTCTCCTTCCAACAGTAGCAGCTAAATTATAGGTACTATCAGCATGAAAAAATGTAGAACTGTGCCCTGGACTGTCTTCTGGTTTTGTTCTTTCCATAAGCTGTAATCCTTGCAATTGATATTTTTCTAGTCATTGATGTTTATTTTTTTAAAGATAAATTAATGCCAATGTTTATAATGTCTAGAATTGGTTCATGCATGAATCGCTGAATTATTCCTTAGTGAATGCTGGCACTTCATATAATGCTGAATACACTGTTACAGGTCTCATATAAGCAGATTCAGTATCTAGAACTATAGTTCTCCCATCTATTTTCTATTTTCAGCATTAAAGTTCATTTCAGTTTACAAGAATAAGCAACTGTTTTTTTATTCCTTCAATTCTGTAGAAAAACACTAAAATTTGGTCAGAAATAATACATTTGTTCCTCTAAAATATTAGTGCACTAAAAATTGTTTTGCTGTTCTTCAATTAGGGTGGATTTATTTAAACAAGTTTCCTGTTTTGGAATTCATATATTTCTCAAATCAGAACAGGTTTTCTTCACGCCTTTGCATCACTCTTGGCTCCTGGGAACTACATTGACAAGTCCCTGCAGTTTTCTTGGCAACGGTTTTTGGAAGTGGTTAGCCATTGCCTTTCTCCTAGGGCTGAGAGAGGTGATTGGCCCAAGGTCATCCAACTGACTTTGTGCCTAAGGTAGGACTAGAACTCACGGTCTCCCAGTTTCTAGTTCAGTGTGTTTAACCACTATACCAAACTGGCTTTCAGAATGTATAATAATTAGTTCCAATAATAGTAAAATAGTATTGGTTTTCTGCTAACCCTGAAATATACCTAACACCTTTTATCATATAATTTACATAAAGTGTAGAACAATATTTATTAAGCGTTATTTATATCCCACTCTCCATGATAACTATCTTCCCAAAACAGGCATAAGCAATATATACTATTATAAGTGAGGTACAATCAATGTTATTTAAAAAGAAACAAAAAGTTAGGATCGTTCCTACAGGGCCATTGGTAGTAATGATCCTGAGAAGATTTGGGGGGGGGGTAGGGAGAAAAGACAGAATTCTGTTTGGTTTTCTGTATATAATTTCCCTGCCTTTTCACCACCTGAAAATCTGAGATGAAACCATCTTTTTCAGCTGCAAACCTGATTACTGTAAGCAGAGCTTGGTCAATTGGAAGTCACAGGGCACATGGCACTGAAGTTCTGATAAAGCTAAACTCCTGTGAACCTGTTCAGTGCCTGGGCGGGAAACTTTCTCAGAATTCTTTGTACACAGCCTCATGGTGGAAAAAAACAGGATATAAGTTTAGCAAATTTTAAAAAATAGTCTGTGTTACAATGACATCAATGATATAGGACTGGATCTCTGGAATGTTACCTGAACTCCAGCTGATAAAAATGAAAATAATACCAATCATTGTTCTATTGATCATGCTTAATCTCACAAATCCTGTATTCCACCCATAAAACAAGGAGTTCAATAAAATGCCTCATGATTCAGTGTTTAGGAGATTGTAACTTTAGACCTAACCCTGTTTGTTCCATTTATTTTAGCTTTCATTTTAAACTACATTTTCTTTGTGAATTACCAAAAAAAAAAAACTTTTCCAAACAGCTGTTCTCTTAGCAGGAATCTATAGTAACTCGTATAGTATAGTATAGTATAGTATAGTATAGTATAGTATAGTATATCTATATTACACCACTATTATTATTCCATTTTGACACACTTTTGAAATATCAGAGCTGCACAAAAAGTTCAAATAAACTAACCTTATTGAACCAATTGGGGCTTTTCTTTTTCGTCATGGCAAGTGTCATACCAAAACCTGCTAGCATTCCTGCAGTAGCAACTGTAGCAAGAAAAAGTCCACCTGCCAACAGAGAGAAAGCAAGGAAAGATTAAATTATCAGTCTCCTTTTATCATGAAAAAAGGAGATTCATAAATCTCTGTTTGAAACAAAAGACTGTGAGCGCTCTCCAGAGGAAAAGCTATCAAGCTGTCACAACAACTGCCAAAATATGACGCACATTATAGCTTATTTATGTATTTATTTATTACAAATGCACAGGATTAAAACCAACAGAACAAAAGGATCTATAATAATAATAAACACAAAGTGGCATTTTAAATCTGCGGATTGTTTTGGAGATTGTGTTAGGTGCTGTCCCAAGTGTGCGCATGGTACAAATTCTGAGTGCAGAGGTGTGAATTTGGGACGGGTTTGGCTTTCTACATCTAACACTAAACAAGGCAACTTTTCTCTGGAAGGAGAATGGCGAGAAGTACAATTAGCAGTAACCTGGCACATTAAAGTGTTTCTGGTGCCATTACTACATATCACTAGTTTCCTTCTCTGAAGGCAAGACCACCCTCACTTTCAGGCTGGGCCACAGAGCAGGTGAGATTGCAGCTGTGGTCTCTTTACGTCAGAGAAACTAGTCTTTTACGTTCGTATTTTTTGAGAACAGCCCATCTCTAGAAGACAGGCCCACACCGATCTCTCACTGGTCCACACAGCCAAGAGCACTACTGCAGAATCAAGAGTTTAGTTTGCTTGTGATTAAAGGCAGTCATCCAAGGAAAAAATCTTCCCAACTCTCTACTTTGCCTGCATCGTTCGTAAAAGACACTGCCAGTATTTGCATGTCTATAAGATGGTTACACATAAAACAAACTCTCTACACAAAAACGATGTCCCCCCACCAAAGAAGCAGTGTTCCAACATATTTCTGTATCTTCCAAAATGAAGGAATTCGGTTTTTTATTTTTTTTACTTCTAACTCTATTTTTCACACTGTGTATCTAATTAAGGTTTATTTTGATCAATCTGTTTATTTTGGTCAACTTAACACAGATCTATCTATTTCTGAGCTTCTTTAAGCAGAAAGTTTGTCCTTCAGAATTCAATAAAGTACCACGTCCTAATGCTATTCATACATAGGAATTAATTAATGGCCAATTAGATGGCACTCTTTTTCAGGGGTAAAAATGTTCTCATCAATATAGCAAACATCACAACACAACCCTAAACAAGAGCCATGATTTAATTATATAAAATAGGCTTGCAAGCTATTCATTTATTCACATCTTCTCTAGCCATTTCTTAAGAATAAAAGGTAAACTGAAGCTTGATGCCTTTGCCTCAACTTTCATAATCTCCAGAGCCGGAGGAGGAGGTGCTGAAAGTCGGAATATAAAATATCTGGAGGGTTCTAGGTTGAGGGAACCTGGTAAAAATAGCTGAACTATTAAATCCACCTATATCAGTAAAGGCTGAAATGGTTTCGGTTCCAGCACGCACGCAAACCCGTTTTTTTTCTTTTCTTTTCCATCCCATGAAAATGAACTTTACGCTATCAGAAGCAGCGAACACCCCATGGTTCCTGCTAACGTCTGGGCGACCCAGATCTCTGGTTCTTACTGAAGCAGGTTTTAACTGGTATCAGGGTTCAGTGTGAGGCTAGGCCGAGTCCCTCCAACACGAAGGAGCGAACCGCTCGCCGTGCAAAAACTGCCCACGGAGGAAACCCAAGCAGGAGGACCCCCTACAACTCGGCAGCAAGGCGTCCCCACAGCTGCCCCTCCTCTTCATGTATTTATAACTTAGCCGGTGGCAGTCAACCTTTGATTACGAAACGCCGCTGCGCGTCTTCTGTCGGGGTTGCGTCGAGATTAGGGCTCCCCGAAGCCTGAAGCGTTCGCGCACCGGCGGTCCCCAGAAGGGGGCCCTGCGCGTCCGCCTCTGCGGCTACCGTCCCCCTACTCGGAGGAGCTCCGGAGCCGGGCGGGAAGTAGCCGAGCCTCCCCTCCGCAGCTACCCGGATGGAGATGCGGCTGGAGGCGGACTCGCGCCCTTGTGCTGCCGGGATCAGCGATTGCGGCGCGCCGGGGATGTTGGGCTGCTTTTCCTTCTCCGCGCAACTGCAGATGGTGGAGTCAGCCTCGAAGCTTTGGCCGTGGTTGGTTAGGTTCTGCATTGGCGGAGGGGCAGGGAATAAACCCCATTGGAATCAGTGGGCCTTACTCCAAGTGTAAGTGACGTAGGATAATACATTCCTAAAACCAGTTAGCTTTAGGAGGTCCATCGAACTCAGTGGCCGGGCTAGAAATGTGTTCCGTGGGACTGCCCTTTAGCTCGGGATCAGCAGCGCCGCTTTTAAAAGAGCTGACCTTCCCGCAGCAGTTATAACAACAACCACCACAACCACAACATATTTAAAAAGATGCCGATTCCTTTGGATGAACCAAAATATGAATACAAAAGTGCTTAGAGATGAGTTTCTGCTTTTGAACGGGTACAGACAGTCTTTAAGACAGCCAAGGGCAGCCCAGGATGTTCTGTGTGGTGATTTCTATGAAAGTAAGCATTGTGAATGCAGGACAGAGGGACAAGGAGTGGCCAATATAGGGAGCTTCCCTACCATCCCCACCACCATTTGGTTGAAGGGAAAGACACTCAAGACTCGGGCATTTTTACAGGTTCTTAGTGAATGTAATCCAGATTTTGATTGCACTTCCACTATCGCTCTGTTAAGGTGGACAGATTGTCCCTGGGTCTTGAGGCTCATGCTCTGCATTTTGCAATTGGAGGTAAAGACACAAAGGAGTCACACTCCCTTTAGTGCAGTGTTGTCCAAACTTGGCCACTTTAAGATGAGTGGACTTCACACACTCCCTTTAGTGCAGTGTTGTCCAAACTTGGCCACTTTAAGATGAGTGGACTTCACACACTCCCTTTAGTGCAGTGTTGTCCAAACTTGGCCACTTTAAGATGAGTGGACTTCAACTTCCAGAATTCCCCAGCCAGCCATGCTGGCTGGGGAATTCTGGAAGTTGAAGTCCACTCATCTTAAAGTGGCCAAGTTTGGACCACACTGCTTTAGTGCATAGGAGTTCTGATCTGAAAAAACAGTTTACAAACACTTTCTGAGGAAACAGTTCAATTTTCCCCATTTTATTTGTCCTATGACATATCCAGGACAGAAAACCTTAGTTTTTCTGAAAGATCATTTACTTCTGTCAGCCCTGTTAGGTAGGCCAAGAAGTCAACTCCACAGAAAAGCTAAAACTACTTTTATTGAGACTGGCTATAATAATCTTGCATAATAATCTAGGATTTTGCAAATCTGATTGTGCTGCACCTCCTCCCCCTTCTTATACTCCAGAGAACTAGGGAGGCGCCCGCCTGAGCCAAATGTTACCTTGTACAGTAGTTCTGGACTTAAAAGGTGTCAGTCCCTTTTGGCTAGATAACGGTTACCTAATTGTTAACTATCATGAGCAGGATGATTCTAGAGACAATTTCACAAGAATCAAAGCAGCTTTTTTTCTATTTGTTTTTAATTCCCAATGAGGCAAAGGATACTCAGACATTCACTAGGCATGTCAGATTGCATCATCTTAGCTATTAAATCAAAACTTTCAGTAATGTTATTGCTTCTGAATATAATCAGTAATTAATCAAATTCTGCAATTAATGTGGAGATATATGGTATTCTAAATCAGACAGACTTTGACTTTGTCTAAATCTCTTTAGTGAAGTGCTTCTCAGACATAACGTGATATCAGATTACTTGTCACAGTCATTGTGATATGGCTCAAGCATGCTTCCTTGTTTCCTTTGATAAACTGCAAGGTCTGAGGGATCATAAGAAAAAAATTCAGCAAAATTATAACTAAAGATTATTGCAGAAAATAATTTAGTCAAATTGCAAACTAAAAAAAAAAAAAAAGTAGATCTATACCTCTCTCCCTAGCTCTAATGCTGGGAAAGGAGGAAGGAAAGAGAAGAAGAGGATGACCAACAACAAAGTGGAAAATCTCAGTTACAATAGCAATGAATGTACCATTGGAAGACTTGAAAGATCAGGTTGAGAACAGACTGTCCTAGAGAAAATCTATGTGGTTGCTAAGAATTGACACTGATTTGATGGCACATAATCAAATAATCATAACTTTTCCCTAAAGATTTGCATGAGTCTGTACAAATTTCAGAATCACTCTAAGAGTCCTGGCCTCTCATTTCTGGGGTTAAACTTGCAAAGGATGATCTAAGGAAGAATCACATAAAATACATTATGTAATCAAGAGCTGAAAGGAGGAATGGAGTCTTTGTGAGTCTGATTTTAATTGGGCATTTTCTGTACAGGTCTCCAATTTATTGCTAATCAACCTGAGACTTTTGAAAAAGGTACACATGCTAGAAATCATTGCTTAAAATGTATAAGTAAATAAATTATGCAGTAATTCTTTCCATCAGACTTATCTGTTCTTATGTAGAAACCATTATGTAAACTTTCCTTCTTTAGCGAGCCTATCTTTAGTTTCCCAGAACCATTTCTGCTGCCCTGGCTGAAGGTTTCTAGTAAACATTTCATGCTGGCATTGATTAGTGGTTTTATAGCATCATAAATACACATAATGCTTTATCCAATTAAGAGATAAACTGCCTGCAGTAAGGTACTTGCTACAGATGGAGTCATCCTATAGTTTTTACATTCATCAGGGACTAGTCTCACCTGGCAATTAAAACAATACAGCTCAGAAACAGAGTTTATTTTATACAACTCAAAGTAGCAGACTTAATCTTCCTGCCCTTTTTTCCCTACAACAACAGTCCTGTGAGGTGGGTTGGGCTGACAAAGAGTGACTGGTTCAATGTTGCCCAGCCAGCTTTCTTGTCCAGTGACCTGTGTGGCTGAGTAGTGGGGATTTGAGCTTGATTCTTTGTTACTCTGACATTGGAAAGAGCTGGTGGTTCTGACACTGATCTTCCCCCTTCAAGCTGAAATATCATCTCTAACCTTGGAGAGGGAATTTTGATGTATCCTATGACTGTTGGGAAACTACCCCTTGGGTTTGTAGCCCCAAAGTAAGATGTATTATCTGGGAATGAATTCATTTCCTTTATTAAAGGGTCCTTTTTTCCTTCCCTCAACACTTTCTGCTGAGCACACACTCCACAATGTCTCTCCACATACCACAGCAGAATTATGGGCAGCACCTTGTGACCCACAAAACATTACAGCCATCCTTCATTCTCCTTGGAGCTGCTTCTGAGCAGACCATTGCGCAACTCTAAGCATCTGCTGAAGTAACTGACCTAAATTAGTCCCAGACTGATATCAAAACACACTCAAGGGAAATCAAAATATTGCAAAAGATGCAAAGGGCAGATTCATTTATATGTGTTCGGATATAAAGGAAAACAGGAAGGGAGATTACAGTAATCTGCACTTTCTGCATTCCATTTATCCCGTTTCTCTGTTTATACACCTCCAGGGCCAGCCATGTTTGTGTGTGTAGCTGCAACTCAGCATTCCACACATCAGATGAAATATATCACAGCCCACCAAAGCTATTCCTTAATAAACGTGTTAGTTATTAATTGCCACATTTTTTGTGGCTCTTCAAGCAATGTTTTTAGCTGCATGCAAATGTTAGGTGCAATTGTCATTGAACACTGCATGAAAAAGCTTGCCCTTCTCTCAGCAAGATCATGGCAAGTTGACCAATTAGGATCAAATTCTTGTTTGCTATTATCTGCCAATTTAGACAATGGCTGGATTCATGCATTGTGCTGAGACATATGATGGGTTAACATGCTGTGTGAATCCAGCCAAAGTAGGGAAACTGCTATTTGCCTAAAAACAGGACTGAGCAGCGACAATTGCTTTACACAGGAAAAGGGAAGGAACAAGGAAGATACATGCTCAGGATTCCTTCATATTCATTGATGAATTATGGTTTGCATTACTTTAGAATATTTCTGCCCTTTCTTCAGCTGGAAAGACTTCTAGAATGCTTCCCAAATCAATAAAATAAGCAATTTATTCAAGTTTTACTTTCATCCACAGGGGGGATCAAAAAAGTCAAGTCCTCTGTATCTCTGCTTTAAAAAGACACAGCAAAATAAAAAAGATGGAGAGGGAAAAGGAATCAAGAAAGTTCAGGCGCTAATTTGTAATGTTATCTTAGATGGTTCTTCTATAAATCAGGAGGGGAAAAAATTAAATCTGCCCTAGCTGATCCTTTTATTTCCAAGGGTTCTCCAGTAAAAAATAATCATGATAAACTATCACTAGTCAGACTGAATTTCGTGGCACTCCTTAGTCTGTCCAGGTGGGGAACTCTTGGCCCTTCTACCCAGGACATCTCACTTCAGTCCAATGCCATAGAAAAGTAGAAAGGAAGATGTTTGAGATCTTCCCACCCAGACCCCTGAAATACAGACATTAACAAGCCTTGTGCCAGTCTTGGAACACAAGGAGTAGCAGGACAGTTCTGCATATAACGAAAATTTTAATGGGGATTTCTCTTACTAAGCCAATGAGGCCAAATCTCTAGATAAAAAAAATGGGAATTATTGAAAAAAGGGAAATATATTGGAAAAGCAAGGTAGAACAACAATCACTCACATAGATTTCTAAATAAAATAAATATAATCACTGCAGTTAAACTAGTTAATCTTACCTGCTTAAGAGCTTATGTTTTACCACATGTGCAGAGATCAACAGAGCCTCCTGCTTAGATGTGCATAGACAGGCCCTTCCTGTTTCTTCTTCTTCCCCTTCTTGACCACTACTCTCAGTTTTTATTCAATATGGAAGATAAATTAATGCTGTTTTGGAGACACTTTTACCTTGCCTAATCAAAGACAATGCCCCAGTTCTGATGTCCCAGGTTTGGTTAGCAAGTGAGAAATTATCTAGTGACTAACCCCACCTTTCTAGAATTATATAGCCACAGACTAGTCTTCACAAGTTTTATCATTGTATAAATGGAATTACATGGGAGAGATTTTTGTGGGAGGAAAATCAAGATGCTTTAAAAGTAGCTGTGCTATACCCAGCCTACAGGTTTTTGCCATTACAAGAAGTCAGAATGGAGAGCTCAAAGACAAGGTTCCCAAAACTGCTGATCTCTTAGCTGAGCCAGCAAAGTAGTCCTGCTTCTTGTTTCTTCCTCTGCTTTAGCC